AGGTTTCACTTATTTTGAAGGCATTCAGCATGACATTTTAAAATACATTCAGGTGATATACCCAAGTCAGGAAGCATAGATGACATCTGATTCCAACCCTGCCATTCTAATTATAGTTTGCCTATACTTTGGACAATGTGAAGGGCAGAGAGTATGTGAATTAGTATTTCATAAACGTATTCTGCCAATGGAAATTAAGTTTGGATCAGGGGCAAAGAGTACAATTCTGATCATGTTACTCTTCTGCTCTTAGAATAAAGGTCAAACTCAACATGGCCAATCAGGGTCCTATGTGACTTCCAGTCTGTTCTACTAAGGCTATGCTGGAATTTTGTTGTTCAAAAGTAGGTGCCCTTGATCATCTTAGGATTTTTGTGCATTCACGGGGCCCTTTTCATCAGTTTTCACTCTACTCATGCTTCAAATTGCAGTCTGCTGGAAATTTTGCAGGGAAACCTGCCACCTGTTGTAGACAGCACCAGATGGCTTTTCTTTCTAGAATTTGGGCACGATCAGTCACCTTGTCTCATGAGGAGGGGAGCACAGGGGTAACCTAAATGAAATGCCATTTTTACTTTTCACATTAGCCTGGTAACTTTGCTGAATAAATGGGTGTTTTTATGTACAGTTCAGATGAAAAAACTTGTGCACCACCTTCCTTCATTCCTTCCCTCTTCCTTCCTTCCTTCCTTCCTTCCTTCCTTCCTTCCTTCCTTCCTTCCTTCCTTCTCTCCCTCCTTCCTTCCTTCCTTTTATGAAAAATAATTCTATATCTGCATACTATAAAATGATACTTTTTTTCTAGAAAATCAGTGGCTCACACCTATACATCCCAGGTATTCAGGAATTTGGATATGAAGGATCATGGTTTGAAACCAGCCAGGCAGGAAAGTCTGGGTTGTATCTCCAAAATAACAAGCAAAAAACTGGGATAGAGATGTGACTCAAGTAGTAGAGCACAGGCTTAAGAGGACTAAGTCAAACACCCATGAGGCCCTGAGTTTATACCCTCATAAATATATCATTTTATAATAGGAAATATGGGCAGAAAATAAGTGATCACAAATGGAGGCTTTTTAGAATACATTGGGATATACCCATTCATTGGAATGCTATGCATTTGTAAAAAGGGAGAAAGTTTGATAATTAGTAAAATAAGAAAAGAGTCTGTTGTTGCTACGTGAAAAAAAGCAATGCCCAGAATAATGTGTTTTATAAAAAAAAAAAGGGAGGGGAAAAGTAAACACATATACATAAGTATATAGTTTATGTGGCAGCATGCACTCCAAAAAGTTGTAAGAGGGCTGAGAAGGTGGCTCAGTGGTAGAGCGCTTGCCTTGCATGCCTGAGGCCCTGGGTTCGATTCCCCAGCACCACATAAGCAAAAATAAAAAAAAATCCGGAAGTGGCGCTGTGGCTCAAGTGGTAGAGCTCTAGCCTTAAGCTGTAGAGCTGAGGGACAGTGCCCAGGCCCAGAGTTCAGGCCCCACGACCGGACCCCGCCCCCCAAAAATGTAAAAACCAAAAAGTTGTAAGAAACTAATAACTAGTAATTGTATTTGGTGAAGGATAGAACAGGAAGGATGGGAAACAAGACAGAGCATGTAAGAATACAAAGAAATCAAAATATTTAATGCTCCTATATATAATTATGAATGAAACAGTTTCAAAATTAATGACTGAAACCTAAAATTCATTAAGCACAACTTATTGCCTATCCTTTATTGCTTCATGGAAAAAAGATAGCGTTTGCATGAGCAAAGTTAAGTTATTAATTGTATAAAATTTAGGTTATAAATTGTACTTCATGATATTCACTGTAAGAAATTCTCTATATTCTTTTCATATACTTTATCCATAAAGTAAACTGGCCCAATATTAAGTTTTGCTTTTTGAAAAAGTTTTAGTTCTACCTTTTACTTTCAAAGGACATTTTAAAGAGCCATTTTTTAAAGAAATACGATGGAAATGTTTTGTTTTCCAAACTTAAAGCTCACAAAATATTGTTTCTAATTAACAATGAAGTTACCTCAATCTAGAAGCAACAAAAGACAGTTGTTCAAAACATTTTTATGCTTAGTCAATTACTGTATGCACATTATATAAAAACAGTAAAGGATTGTCAAAGTGCAAGGAAAATTCCTCTGAGAATTCATCTCTGTTTATCTCTACAACTAAGTAGAGACAACCACAGCTACTGGTTCTTAGAGAAACCTCCCTGAAGTGTAAGTGTGATAAGGTGAGGTGTGACCAAAGTCTCCATTGCCTCTGTGATATCAGTGAGCCAGTGTGTGCCCGTGTTGAATTAACTAAGGAGTCACTTAAAACTTGCTAGTCAAATTTAAACCTTAAAATATTGGATCGTCAAATACTGACTCCTAATATGTTTAGTTCTTGGTTTAAAATCTGTCATATTAGCTCGACAAGAAATGACCTTACTTGTGTAACTGTAACCCTTCTGTACAGCATATTAGTGCCATATTAGTGTGGAAGAGATGGGTTTAATAGTGCTTAAATAGATTTACATTGTGAATGGATTTAATTACTTTTACTTCTTTTTTCTTTTTCTTTTTTATTTTGGTCCTGGGGCTGGAACTCAGGGCCTGAGTGCTGTCCTTAAGTTTTTGTGCTCAAGGATAGAGCTCTACCACTTGAGCTCCATTTCTGAATTTTTGGTACTCAATTGGAGACCAGAGTCTCAGGGACTTTCCTACCTGACCTGGCTTTGAACCATGATCCTAAAATCTCAGCCTCTTGAGAAGGTGGGATTACAGGCATGAGCCACTTGTGCCTGGATTACTTTCATTTCTTTAGAAGAAATATTTGAGTCCTAGAAAGTTGGACTCTGTTCATTTTTATTGTCTCCAAAATTAGTGGGATATAATTCAGAATACAACAGCAGCTTATTTTGTTTCCTCCTCTATTCCTCCTTGTAGGAGGAATTTTAGTATGCTTTGATCTATCTTGATTTCACAGATGCGGCCCACTCTTCTCAGCTTAAAAACCTTAGCAGTTTAAAGATATTGGTGTTGGGGCTGGGAAGGCGGCTCAGTGGTAGAGCACTTGCCTTGCATGCCTGAGGCCCTGGGTTCGATTCCTCAGTACCACATAAGCAAAAAGAAAAAAGCCGGAAGTGGTGCTGTGGCTCAAGTGGTAGAGCGCTAGCCTTGAGCTGAGGGACAGCGCCCAGGCCCAGAGTTCAGGCCCCACGACTGGACCCCAAAAAAATAAAATAAAGATATTGGTGTTTGAATGCAAGGTAACTCAGTATGTTTAAATATTCTATGATCTTGAGTCTGTCCCTAAAAGCACAGAACATAGTTGAAGTTCAGTTGAATGGATTTCTTTTGTCTATTTGGTCTGCATGCACCACCTAGTGGTAAAACAGTGTATTTTAAATGCAGGGCGGGGGGGGGAGTAGAGGGGGGGAAGAAGGGGAGAAGAGGAGAGGAGAGAGAAGAGGGAGAAAGAATGTGTGATATAACATGGAAACAAAACTTTATATACATATTCTTAAATATTGAATTAGATCTAAATATCTAATAAGGCTCTCAAACATCATTTATATGCCCGCATAGGAAGCAAATGTGAAAAATTCATTTGAAAAGGAAAAGAGCTTTCTCTTACTTATATAAGCTATGAGTCCAATGATTCTAGCCCTAAATTAATATTTAATATTGAAACAATGTCCTGATTGAGGCAAACAACCAAGGTATTTAATTTTCATTTTATTTATTTATTTTTTGTTGATCGTGGGGCTTGAACTCTGGGCCTGGGTATTGTCCCTGAGCTCTTCAGCTCCAGGTGAGCACTCTGCTACTTGAGCTACAGTGTCTGGTGGTTAATTGGAGATAAGAGCCTCACAGACTTTCCTGCCTGGGCTGGCTTTGAACAGTGATCCTCGGATCTTAGCCTCCTGAGTAACTAGGATTATAGGTGTGAGCCACTGATCCCTGGCTTATGTTTAGTTTTTAATAGTGGTAGTTTTTTTTTGCAGGGGGGGGGAGAAGGATGTGGTCCCAGGGCTTGAACTCAGGGCCTTGTTGCTGTCCCAGAACTCCCCCCCCCCCGCCACTTGAGTAATACCCCCACTTTTGGCTTTTTGGTGGCTAACTGGAGATAAGAGTCTCACAGTTTCCTGTCCAGGCTGGCTTCAAACCAGGATCCTCAAATCTCAGCCTCCTAAATAGCTAGGATTACAAACTAAAAACCCTATACTGTACGAGCTGTAGTATAAAGTTATAGGGCACAGGATTTGGAGGTTACAAAGAAGCATTAATTTTATGAATCTAGCAGCACTGAAACTCAGAATGTAAAGTGACTTGCTCAAGGTCATTCTGGTTATGAGCAGCCCAATTCTAGTTAAAAATAAAAAAAAAAAGAACAGAGAAAAGGGCTTTTTCACTTTGACACTAAGAAGGCAAAAAAAAAAAAATCTTCCCCATACATTAACGGTCAGCTGTCTCTGTGAAAAGGTATATTCTCAACTCTCTCATGTACTTCTTTAAGATACTGAGATGTGAGTTAATACGTATTGGTAGTTTTGTTCTAACATTCTGAGCACAAAGGAGTTAAGTGAAGAACCATGTATCACCGAGCTGGAAAAGAGTTTCTAACTGTGAAACCCCCAGTTTTATATATATGTTCAAGGAAATGTTTTCACTGTCCATGCAGCTGCTGTGCTGTGAAGATCGAACGATTCCCTTTCTTCTTTAACTGCTTCAGAATCAGAGATCTGTTTTCACAAAGCAGATACCCACTTGTAGATTTCAACATAAACCATGACCATAGCTCCCTCTCATGACCAGTGAATATTCTACAGGCATCTTTTTATTCTCCCTGTTGTACTCGACTAACAGCTCACTGGTTAAGTTTTAATTGCTTCCAATGAGGTCAGCAAAGGTATTTATCGAAAAGCCCTGAATAAAAGGGCTCCACACACACACACACGCACACACACACACATGCACACGCACACACGCGCACACACACACAGGCATACACGCGCTCTCACACACAGAGAAAAATCCTCTTGCCTCTTGATTTATGGAAACAATTATGATTCTGCTGGAGTATTTCTCAGCTGAGAAATAGTTTGTAGCTACAGCAGAGAGGCTCCAGTTGCACAGGGCAGACAGCAGACATGGAATTCTTGAGTATCCAGCTGTTATAAACAGAACAAGTAAGTTACTGTTATTTGTCTTTAAAACAATGCTGAATTTTTTAAAAAAAGTTTTCTCTCTTTCTCTGGTTATAGTAATGGGGAAGGGGGGGGTAAGTAAAGTTACTAGAGTTCTGAGCCATGTAAATGTCTAGAGTAGTTCTGTTAAGAACTTATGTAAAGATAAAGTTGATATTCTCCAGAGCAATGTTGACATTTAACTTGAAAAACAACAACAACAAAACGTGAGCAGTTCAGGAGAGGACAACTGATTAACCACAAATGTAAAAGTGGAAAAGAAAGTAATGTAGGGAAAGTATTTATACTTTGTTAATAAAGGTTGTAGATCTGATTAAAATCAATAGCTCTACATGCAGAATGTCTCTTACAAAACTGCAAATGGAATAAATGGTTCCATCAGAATCTGGTTTGTCTACTGATGTATATCTTGGATAAACTTACATCTAGAGTGGAAAGATGCTGACATTCTCTGTAAAAGCTGTACCTTCAGAGTAAAAACTGCACTCTATGTCATAATGCTGTGTGTCCAGGAAATTTAAACATACATTTTTTAATCTTCCTTTTTCTTCCCTTTCCCCATTCTTAACTTCTCAGTGCAAACAGAAGTCAAATAGAGATCAGCATTGCAGCAACTGGCCTTACTACAACATGTTTTTATAAGGATATATGAACAGAAAATTACTTGAGGAGGAATCCGACATTGCCATCAGAAACTAAGAGGATAAGGGTTAATAGTCTGAGAAGAGCAACTACTCTTTTAAATCAATCTACGGCTTGCAGAGTGGAAAAGGTCAATGACCTAGGAGTAAGCATCAACTCAAGATTTAATTTTCATTATGTTATTCATGAACACCCGGAGCACTACACTATAATGCACAAATGGGTACTGACATGGATCCTGCCAACTTTGCTCTACAGATCATGCTTCCACATTATCTGTCTAGTGGGCACTATAGCTTTAGCTTGCAATGACATGACTCCAGAGCAAATGGCTACAAACGTGAACTGTTCCAGCCCCGAGCGACATACAAGAAGTTATGATTACATGGAAGGAGGGGATATAAGAGTGAGAAGACTTTTCTGTCGAACACAGTGGTATCTGAGGATTGATAAACGGGGCAAAGTGAAAGGAACCCAAGAGATGAAGAACAATTACAGTAAGTAATGTGTTTTATTTAAGGCACTGCTTTAATCCTGAGAAATCTGTGAAGGGATCCAGGTGGCAGGCTTTTGAAGTTTCCTTTTTCATCAAAAGTACTAAATACAACTATCACCTTCTAATTTTGCTACACTGGGACTGTCAGACTATGCTCCTAAAAATATCTCTTGGAACAGGACAAATCTGCTAATATTATAGTTGGAACTGATCACCCAGACCAACTGCAATATATGCTCCATGTCCTAAGCTCAAAATACACTTAAGCCAAATGTAAGTGATATTCACACAAAAATGTATACTTTTTTTCCTCCCCAGCCAAAATCACTTAGGGGTTCTCATAGAGTTCTCAGTCAATTCTCATCCAAACTACGAGTAATCACTAGTTTGAGAAATAAGAATTGATTATTTATTTAATGTGTCCTTTGAAAGAATAATTCCAGGATGCCTAATATTTCATCTGCATTAAAAATATATGTCTTCAGTCATGGGCAGTTATAAAAGAATGGGGGAGGGGGGATCTGTGGCCACTACCCATCCATAGCATAATGTGCCTGTAGAAGATTGCTTAACTACCTAGCGAGGCAGAAAATCACGTTTCTAACATTTTCTTTAAATCTTCTATGCCATCTAAGTCTTTCAAGTTGATTTAAGAGAGGCGTAAGTGTGAGGAAACAAGAATCACTTGGAAGATTTGATTCTCAATTGAAAACTATGCCTTCCCCCAAGCACCAGCTGTTTTTATCACATTAAAATACCAGGACTTGGTTTTTCACTTAATGGTTATGATTAATAACCAATGTCCACAGTGTTAAAGTTAATGGCGTAAAGTATATACTTCAGCATTTACTTTAAAATCCCTATGTGAAAATAAACTTGGTTTCTATCAGTAGTATTTAGACAATGTTAATTGTTGCACATTTTGTAAAATGTGTTAGTGTTGGGCTGGTGGTGCAACCCTTGCCCTGTACAGCACCAGACCTATGGTAATTACTTGAAACTTTGGTTGCCTGCTCATGCTTTTTGGCTTGTATACTAATTAATCAATGTATAAGAATTTAGCGGGGGGGCAGGGGGAGTTAGGTTTCTAATATGAAATGGAGACTATTTAACCATAATCAAATACACAATACTAGGCCCATTTGATAAATTGTACTGCCTTATCATTATTGCTATTTATAGAGGTATCATGTTAATTCTAGAACATTGCTCTGATTAGACTAGTTTAACTAAGGAAATGGCTACTTAGAGAGAAGTTTTAGTTGATAGCCATTTCTATGTGATCAACAGTTTGGTGTAGCATCAGTTTATTAAAAAAAAGAAAAGTCAATGAGATTTATCATGGATGATGAAATCTGGTAGAAAGGCTAGAAACCTAGTGGAATTTATGACATACACGTCCAATCTCTGTGAATGATGGGGGACAACTTCTCAGTTTTCTTAATCTTTAATCTATAAAATATAGGATATTTTTCCAACATGCCTTCTAATTATTACAGTCTATTGTACTATAGACCACAGAATATAAGTATGAAGAAATCTTAGAACCTATTAGATAGATGCTGCTTATAATGAATGAAAGTGAATAGGAGCTCAGTAAGACGTTCTGTCAGCATTTCAAATTGTGGTAGTAAGGTTGTTACACTTAAACTGTAGAAATCTATATTTCCACTAATTTTGGAGGTGGTTTTGCAAAATAATAAGCCACTAAAAGATGTAAAAGTTAGTAAAAATCTGTGATTTGAGATAAAAGCATTTCCAATTAGAATGCACTAGAATATACAAGGTTTATTTTGTGTTAAAATTGCTTAAAACTATGAGACTAAGGTATTTGTAAACATACACAAAGTGCCAGAATTGTTCTGTAGGTTGAAACACAATATGGGTATCCATAAAGCCAATCTGGTAAACATTTCTCCTCTAGTAAGAAAGGAAAGAGAAAGGGATCCTATACATTATACATTAGGATGTCACAATACTAATGTACTAAAATATGACAGTATATAAATAATCACCACTATCAAGCTTTATTAAAGTCTCTGTAGATGGGTATACTTTCTTGTTAGGTCAATTCTCATAGAAGGGGAGGCCTTCACAAGAATCCTTCAAACAATTGCTAAAACTGTTGCCAAGTTGAATTGCTATCTTACAGCAAAAGGAGTGAGCAAGGTTTCTCCAAAGTTAAAAAAAAAAAAAAGAGGGGCTAAGGCACCTTTGTTCTACAGGAAAGCCTAAGTTGCATAAAAAAAAATACTTCAGTGAAGAATATTTGGAGAATAACCAGGAGGAGAAAATTTTGATAATCATTTCTTCTCACCTAAGAAGCAGCCTTACTCATTTTAAGAATGAACGCCCCAGGTAAACAAGCAAACAGATCTGTGTTGATGTATTAGGAAAATCAGGCACAAATAAAGTAGTTAGCAGAATTTGTTAAAATAATCAAAGAAGATGAGAAACTTGAAATTACAATTAGCTTTTTTGAATTTAATTAGGTAATTCCATTGTGATAATTCCATACATACATCAATATTACTTTGAACAAGTTTACTCGCTCTATAAACTTCCCCTTCTTCTCTCTTGCTCCCCTTAAATTTTAAATATTGATGATTGTTTTACCAGTGTCAGTAAATGAATGAATGAAATGAATAAAAAATTGTTCCCCGCCCCCAGTATCATTAAAATGGAAGTTAAGGTAGTTAGATCGCCTACAGAATGCAGCAAAATTTAGAAACTCATAGGGTCTCATACTTGGGGAACTCATTGTTTTCAATGTTGTGATGCCTTAGAATTTTAAACAGGTTGTGCTTTGGAGATCTTGTAAGGTTGGTATGGATTTTGATGTCTTAGATGTCACAGTTTTCTCTGAAAAGTGAAATGTCAGCTAGGTAAAAATAATTGTTCTGGACTGCCACAGAAAAGTTGCTGTCCATTCTCACATATTTTCTCTGAATGACAGGGAAAATGACTTACGGGTGTTAATGGATTTGGATGCCAGGAGCAGCCCCGCTCCCCAGAGTCTTGGGCATGCTAGTCTAGTACTCTACCACCTTACTACTGAGCCAAATACCTATCCCCTAGGAATGTGGTTGATAAGATAATGATAAAACTTGATTGGCATTGGCAAGGAGAGTTGAAATATCTGGGTGTGTAGAACCTTGCTTCCAGAAGGAGATGGGCTGAGGTAGAGGACATGGAGGAAGAGAAGGGAAGGAGTGGGGTGGTGGGTGGATGTAGTCAGTCATTCCTCATGTCTTTAGGCAAACTGAAAAACTGTTTAAGTCACGCTGGACTATGAAGAGTCAGGGTATCACATTCATTTCAGGTTTACCTGAATGATTGGAATGAATAAATTACATTAAGAAATTACATAATTTTTTTTTTTTTTTTTGGTTGTGGGGCTTGAACTCTGGGCCTGGGCGCTGTCCCTCAGCTCTTCAGCTTAAGGCAAAAGTGCTTTACAACTTGAGCCAAAGTGCCACTTTTGCTTTTCTGGTGGTTAATTGGAGATAAGTCTCCAAGGACTTCCCTTGCCTAGGCTTTGAACTGCAATCCTCAGGCCTCAGCCTCCTGAGTAGATAGGATTACAGGTGTAAGCCACTGGCGCCTGGCAATGATTTTTTTTGTTTGTTTGCCAGTCGTGGGGCCTGAACTCTAGGGCTACACGCTGTCCCTCAGCTCTTCAGCTCAAGGCTAACACCCTACCACGTGAGCCACAGCACCACTTGCGGCTTTTTCTGCTTATGTGGTGCTGAGGAATAAAACCCAGGGCCCCATGCATGCATGGCAAGCGCTCTACCACTGAGCCACCTTCCCATCCCCCGGCAATGATCTTTATCTGTAGACATGTAACAAGAACTAATGATGTAGATGGGGGGGATTCCAGGAGAAGCCAAAGACTGGAAAAGAGAGAGGCCAAAAGACTGGACTGTATATTTCTTTCTTTCTTTTTTCTTTTTTTGTCAGTCATGGGTGCTTGAACTCTGGGTCTGGGGCCTGTCCCTGAGCTTTTCAGCTCAAGGCCAGGGTTCTACCTCTTGAGTCACAGGGCCACTTCTGGTTTCCTGATGGTTAATTGGAGATAAGAGTCTCATGGACTTTCCTGCCCGGGCTGGCTTTGAACGGTGATCAGATCTCAGCCTCCTGAGTAGCTAGGATTACAGGTGTGAGCCACCAGTGCCGGGCCTTATGGTGCATTTCTAAATGATGAAGTTGGAATCTGATCTCAGCTAACAACAAGGAGAATAAAATCAGGAATAAACACTCAGGTTGTCTGTAGGAGAACACAGATAACATCATAAAGGGACTGGAAATGAATGGTCAATAAATACTCCGACTTCTGTTGTCAGAACTCTCCCCTTGGAGACAAGGCCAGAGGGTGAGTTTAGATGGTTCCTGGCCCAAGCAGACCATCAGCAGACAGGGGCAATCACTCCACACCTGACAAAAATAACACTGCTGTCTAAGCTTGGAATTGAAGTGCTGAGTGAGGGATGGCAGCAGTGTGCTAGGTACCCAACAACCGTCTCTGTGAGCCCAGTTCTTCAAGATCTTGCTTTTGGTATTCAATTACTAAAAAGTTGTGTTGTCCCCAACAATAGTATTATTTATTCCTGTTGAGAGGAAATTCTATATTGTTACAAGCCATGGATGTGACTGTATTGTTAGTTCCAAAGCAAGAAAAGGGTTAGCCATTCTGAAAATTGGCCAATGATTTGGCAATACTCTCTTTTGGACTGTAAGACTGAGATGGGATATGGCCTAACAATTGGCAAAAAGCAAATAAACACAGTGATGTTGGATCTGACTATGGCCATGAAACCTTCAGAGACTCAACTGTCAACAATTCTTGGGATTGGCTCCTGCTCAACAGTATTCTCTTCTACTCGCCATAAAATGTGCATATCATCTTGGAATACAGAGAAGGTAAATTTACTTCTGTTCTAAACAGTTCTTCACAAGTTGCCTAAAAGAATAATAACTCATATTGTCAGAACAAAAACA